GCCCGATGAGGGGCTGGATCCGGATCATGATCTGAGCTGAAGGCAGACAGGTTAAGACTGAGCTGCCCAGATGTCCCAGGAGGGTGCAATTTAGATACGTCTATAAGAACCAGATGTTTGTTGGTCGGAGGAAGTTCATTCTCTGACTCTCAGGAAATAAGAGACAAGCTTGTCTATTGAAAATGAAAGAGGGGTTGGTGAGGTCAGGAACATAGATATCAGGGAGAGCCCACCAGTGAGGGATCGATGCTGGACATCCAGAGGATTCTAGAAAAGACAGGAAAACTTGGGAATGCTGGACATGGTGTGCTGGGACTTCAGGACATGGCCACGCAGAGATGTCCCTTCCCCAAATGCCCCTTGGAATCTTCTGGACATGGAATGTTGAGGCTGACTGGGCCTCAGGATATTATTATTTTCTGGAGTCCACAGGAAGGCTGAGCAGCCCTGTTTGTAATGTAAGCAAGTAGATAGGATCTGAGTGTTGTGGGTTTTATCTTGGGCTGCAGGTTGTCCCAATGCCCGAGTGAAGGTCAGTGGGGAGAAACCTCGGCTTGCTAAATAAAGGCAGGGAAGCGAGGAGCAAGTCGCGGGACACTGGAGAGCGCCACTGTGGTGGTGTCCCTCTCACCCTGGTTATGAAGTAGGGGCTTTCAAAGACGGGTGCCAGGGGGCGCCTGGGTGGCTCAGGGGGTTAAGCCTCTGCCTTCGACTGGGGTCATGATCTCAGGGTCATGGGATTGAGTCACACGTTGGGCTCTCTGCTTGGCGGGGAGCCTGCTTCCTCCTCTCTCTCTGTCTGCCTCTCTGGCTACTTGTGTTTTCTGTCAAATAAATAAATAATCTTAAAAAAAAAAAAAAAGGACGGGTTCTAGGAAGAGAGCTCCGCCCTCCCTCCTCCCTGCAGCCAGCTAGAGGAAGCCATAGGGCAGGAGACCAGGTGGAGAGGCGGACTCCATGGGACCACTGAAAGATGATGCCAAAGCTAAGAGAAGAAGCTCCCTAAAGAGTCTGGGAAGTGCACCACCTGGTTGATTGATTTTGTGACCTCAAGCTCATCTCTGGCCCCTTTAATAAAATGCTGGTGTAATTCATCTTTGTAAATTGATTAAATTAAACAGAAATGAATGTCACTTTGAGAGTGAATTGGGAGAGAATTTTGTGACAGCCCCTTGGGGATAGAGACCAGCGCAGGCCTCTTCTGGGAGATGCCGGTGCTGGTTAGGAATCCCGGAGTTGTGTCCTCACACCATATCTGGGCGTCTGGGCGGGCGGCCCTGATTAATGGCTTCACCTCTCTGACTCTCCGCTGCTTCTTCTGCACAATGAGGGTTATGAGAATAAAGCTGGATGCTGCGGGCAAGGACTTGGCTGAGTATCTGGTGACGGGAGTGCTGGATAAAGGAAGTCCTTATCATCTTCCTCATCATTCACATTTATCTTAGAGATAGTAACAATTCCAAAAGAAATCCACAAATATTTCCCCAGAAAAAGAGAAGATGATTTTTCAGGAATATAAAAAATCCCAGGGGGGCCTGGGTAGCTCAGTGGGTTAAGTGTCTGCTTTTGACTCAGGTCATGATCCCAGGGTCCTGGGATCGAGACCCGAGTCAGGCTCTCCACTCAGAGGGGAGCCTGCTTCTCCCTCTTCCTCTGCCTGCGATTCCCCCTGCTTGTGCGCTCGCTCTACCTCTGTCAAATAAATAAATAAATTCTTTCAAAAAAATCCCAGAGAGCCTCCTCTGAAGAGTTGTCCATAGCCAGCTCCTCAGGTGACCCTTGCTGGTCTTCCTGAAATTCTGCTTCCGGTTGTCACAGAGCTTGTCAGCCCCTGGAAGCAGGAGCATCATGGGCTATTCCTCCAAGCCAGGACTTTTTCTGTCTCTGAGCCATCCACTGAGACAGGACAGAGAGAGGAGGGAAAGCGAGAAGGAGGCTGGAGAAGATCAAGCCCATTGTTGCACAAGCCATTTTGTCTGCAAGTGGGTGTTCATCGGGTATCTTGGCTCCGATTCCCTGTCACCAAACCCATGGTCCTGAATCCCACATGCAATAAACCACTATTGCTAGTTCTGCTTGTGCCTTTCCCCTGACACAGGACAAGCTTTAAGACAGTGGTTCTTGACCGGGGGAGTTCCGCAACGTCTAGAGACATTTTTCTGTGGGCACGACATGGAGAAGTGCTACTGGCTTCTAGTGGGCAAAGGCCAGGGATGGTGCTAGATGGTACACAATTCACGGGAAAGTCCCCCATGACAAAGAAATCTGTGATTCCCCTCTCTTCCGTATCCCTATTATTTCTTCCCTATGGCTTTCTCTATGCTGAGGGAGGGCCGAGCTCCCTTCCTGGCACCCCTTGATGAAAGCCCAGATTTAATATCCGGGGTTACAGTGTCAAAGTTAAGAAACCTCACTTGAAGGAAAAGGCAGCCCTCTCCACCCCATTTAATTCACTAAGGTTATCAAGCTGGCGGTTTGCCAGCTGCCAAGGATTTTAAAAAGCCCTACCTTGAGTGACTGTTTTGCATTGGCCTGATACACTTATGTACAATTTTCTAAGCAACTTGCCTTCAAGATGTCCTTGTTTATTACTTGGCACTGTATGGAAGTGCCCCAGTTTAGGACACTCCTTTGGGATGTCATCATTTCATTCATTCATTCAACCAACACATGCTCACTGAGCTCCTCCTTACACTGTGACAGGCTCTAGGGAGAGAGGATGAATGAGACAACATCTCAAAGTGTGCGTACTGGGGAGCAGGACAGGGACAGATGTGCTGGTGAGTAATCTTGATCTTGTTCCAATTAAAGGTCCTCATGAGATTCATGGGAGTGGGACAGCAAAGGGAGGCGTGATCCACGTTTCCTATGGAGGTCTCAGAAAACTGGCCCCTTCAGCCATAGTCACTTTCTGGTTTCCATTGACAAGTGACCTTCCTGACACTTCACTGTGTGGAAAGGCAAGGGGGTAGGCTGGGTAGCAGTAATAAGCAATTTGGCCTAATGATGCCTCGTTAGGAAGATGCCTATAACCTCATTCAATGGGGGAACCGAATGAATAAAAAATTGTTCAAATGTCCTTAAATCTCCAAATCAAGTGTTTGAGTCAAAGAAACAGAAGGTAAACAGGGTTTCAAAGGCTGGGAAATACTCCAACCAAAGTAGGTCAGTTCTATTCTTATTTATTAAAAGAGTTCTTGCCAAGAAGCATAAGAACTCAAGTCTGGATAAGCCCATAAAATACCCAGAGGATGGAGACTTAGACACAGGAAAACCATCTTGTGATAATACAAGGCAGGACATGAGTGTATGAAAATGACATGTAAAGACCAAGAACGTAAGGGAGAGTGCCCTGGGTGACCAGGATCAAGAGATCTGGGTTCTAGCCCCAGCTCCGCTGCTAACTTGCTGGCTCAGGGCAGCTCTCTTTTCTCTGTGGGTCTCAATCTGCTCATCTGTAAAACAAGGGAATTGAACCAGAGGATCAGGAAGAAGCCTTCCAAGGCACACTGAAGACTCACACCAAGTGAAAGCTCTCATTTCCCCCTCTGCTTATTATTGACATAACCTGGGGTCCCCCTGAGACTAAAAATGTAGGTACAATCTCAGTCCTGAGGCCAAGCCACCTGGTGATTTCTTCTGACAACCTCAGGGTTACTACAAATACTTAATTAGGAAGGAGAGGGAAAGGTGATAAGGAGGAAACTATTAGCTCTCCCATCCCTGGGCACTGAGTAACAACATACCCAGAGGCTTTGAACTGTCCCCAGTGTCCTGGGTGGCATTTCCCCACACTGGGAGTTCAGATTAGTGAGTGGGTACTATTGTTCTAGCATCTTCCAACCACCAGGCCCTGCCACTGGTGAGAAGAGGCTCCAGGGTTACAAGGGACCTGGGAATGAGGGTCCTAAATTCTACTTTTCCAAACTATAGCTGCTAGAATGTCACCAAGCTGTGAGTATCAACACTCCCATTAGCTCTGGGAGGGAACATTTTTCTTATAATCAACCAGGAGAGGACTACAGGAAGGCAAGGTCATTGGACACCAGGAAGGACTCACCCAGGACAGAGACTGGAGACTCTGAATTGGGTCCCCAAGCACTTTTCTTGGGGTTCTTGGGACAGAGGCCTTGAGGGCCAGTTTGGAATGCTGGTGGGAAGAAGTGGTTCTGGAATTTGCATCCCCCCCTCCACACACGCACACTTCCCACACCACCACCCCCTCCCTATTCCTTCCATCCTGGCTGTCTGGGTGCAGCCACTCATTCACAGATCCCAGTGGGAGAGGCCCTGGATTCCAAGGAGTTCCAGTGGGAAAGGAAAACAAGCCACCCCCTCTGCCTTTCTCTTCTTTTCCAGCTCCTCCCTGGAGCCCCCAGACATTCAGACATTAGGGAGCCAGATCCCAAAGGGGAGGGAGGGAGCTGCAAACGGTCCCACCATAGACAGACCCGAGATGTTCCAGCCAGAGCTTTCTGAGGTTTTCTTTTCTGCAGACCGTGTGTGTGTGTGTGTGTGTGTGTGTGTGTGTGTGTGAGAGAGAGAGAGAGAGAGAGAGAAAATGTCAAGGCTTTGGGACCGACAGACCTGGGTTCCAATCAATTTTCCCTAGGGCAAGATTTTTTGGTCTCTTAGAGTCTCTGTTTCCTAGTTCATAAAGAGAGGGGGTGACAATATCAACCCGGACAGCCGATCAGGAGGTTTCAATGAAATAATTGAGGCAGAGTGCCCAGCGCACAATGGGCTCTGCCCGGGGCGTCTCCAGTGTTTCCGTCGAGGCACAGCCTGAAGGAAGGGATGGCGTTTATCTTAGGACTCCCTTTGCCCTACGCACTTGCTGTTTTACTCTGGGGGCGAGGCTATATGGCGAGGAGCTGATAGAGATGATCCTGGGGGCGGGGGGGGCAACGGGGTGTAAGAGTTCCCCTTGCTCGGCGGAAGATCTGGGGACTCCCCCACGCCCACCTCGCGTGGGACCCGCGGAGGGGAGCGGTACTCACCGTGTGCGCAGCGCAGGCCAGCAGTAGCAGCAGCGGTGGCGGCGGCCACAGCAGCAAGCGGGGACGCATGGTGCCCGGCGCGCTCCCCGAGGGGCGCCTCGACGGCCGCCCACCTGTGCGCACCCCGCGGCCTTGGAGCTCAGCGCCCTCCGCGGGGTCCCGCGCCCCGGCCGGTCGCCGCGTCCGGAGGAGCCATGGGTGGGTCACCCGACCCGCGGTGAGCCCCAGGACTGCTCCTCCTCGGAAGAGGTGGCGGCGCGCTAAGCCGCCCAGCCCATGGATAAGGACGCGCGGCGCTGCCGGCGCTCCTCCACCCGGCCCCGTCTGGCAGGGGGACAGCGCGCCAGGAGCGCAGGGGAGGAGAAGGAGGAGGAGGAGGGAGGGCGCGGAGGGGGGGCCGCAGCCGGCTCCCGCAGGCTCAGCCCCCGGGCGGAGGGGACCAGGAGAGGGCACGCTGCCTTAGCTTCAATGCTGCAACACCCCGGAGTCCGGAAAGGGCGCTAAGTTCCGGGGCAGCTCTGCCTCACCCTGGCTGCCCGCGGATGAGCGACGGATGACACCTTTCGCGTCTCGCCTCTATTGATACCCACATTCAGGTTAAAAGAAGGTTGTGCCAGGGCCCTGCAGACATAGAGGTTGCTCCGTAAATGCCTTGGCATTTATCGGGGGGCACAGCGACGTGGCACTCCATCTCCAATTTTCATTTTGTGTTTCATTATTAAAGTCATACCCGCTCATTCTAGAAAATTTTCATTCCCATGCGTGCCATCGCACAAGGCGGTGTGAATGATCAGGTGAGACCCAGGTGGATCCTGTGGGACACCCAGGCGTTTTGGGGGGGCTGCACTGAAGATGAACCCCTGGAGGCTTTGTGCTCCTGGTGTCCTCAGGCAGGTCTCCCTACTCTGAGTGCCCGAGGACTTGGACGCTGGCTTTTAGCCTCTCAGTACAAGGTACCCTTAAGTGGCTCTTACAGACCCAATTTTTTCTTTCTCTGTTTTTGTGCCCATTCCTTTCCTCTTGGCTCTTCCATCTTGACCTTTCTCCCCGCACTTTTGTAAGGGCCTATTTAGCCAGAGCGGCCCCACCCTGGTTGAACTCCCATTTTGTTGTTTATGCTGTAGAACTTAAATTGACCCTGCCTAAGCCAACCCCCCCCCCCCCCCCCCCCCCCCCCCCCGGGGGAACTTACTTAAAAACCAGCCCCACGTAACAAAGTCCAAATACAAGGGTGGGCCAGGTCAGGTGGAGGTATTCAATCAGTGGGGGCCCAAACTGTCTCTTAGCTACCAAGGAGTATGGGCCCTGCCCTTTGGGCACCTTTTGGGTGCCAATTCTGACCAAGGTGATAGGCTGGTTCAAATGTCTACTAGGGTAAATTGTAATTCAATTGGTCACTTCTGTGTGACCTAACATGACTGTGCAGCTTTCTCTGTGTGTTACAATCTCATTGGCCACCTGTGTGTGGCCAGGCCCAACCCCATGGCCTTTGCTCTATAAAAGTTAGCCTGTGAAACAGAGAGAGGTCGTCCTCTCTTGTAAGAGGTGCGTCCTTGATGCTTGGCGCGAAATAAAGTTTTGCTTGACCTTCGCTTTGTATCAGTCTCGCTCCTTTAATCACAGACCCATTATTGGCGGACCCAACATTGGGGACCCAACACTTTAAGTACACATCAGCCACTTGAGCTCCCCCCAATCCCCTTAGGGACATTATGCCTGCTTGACAGAAAAGGGCACTGAGGGTGCAGGATGGTCAATGATGCTGCTGGGTCCCCAGAACTCAAAAGGTCAGATGGGAAAGCCTGGCTAACCCTGATACCCTGATTTTCTGTGCCTGACCTCTGGTCAGATGCCTAATCTACCCTTTATTTTATTTTATTAATATTATTATTATTTTTAAAAGACTTTATTTATTTGACACAGAGAGAGAGAGATCAAGCAGGTAGAGAGGCAGACAGAGAGAGAGGGGGAAGCAGGCTCCCCGCCAAGCAGAGAGCCTGATGTGGGGCTCGATCCCAGGACCCTGAGACCATGACCCGAGCTGAGGGCAGAGGCTTTAACACACTGAGCCACCCAGGCACCACAATATTATTATTTTTTAAAGCTAACTTGCTCTCAAAGCAACATATTCTAGCCCTTAGCAGCCTTCTTTGCCTGAAGAGGCTATTGATAAGGTAAGGTTGGCAGATCGCAGCAAAAATAAAAGGGGGAAAAACTGCTTTCAGCTCTCAAGTCCACAGTCAATGCCCAGGATATATCAGCCTAAAGTATATATGAACATGAACTCCTTTGTAAGAACTTCTGCTGCGGAAATACTCACCCAAAGACTCAATGCACTATGTGTAAGGATGTTTGTGGAAGCACGAGTATGGTAGTGGAGAATAGGAGGTGATGTCTGTGGAAAGGGAACACACTGCCCCACCCTTGATGTTTCTTTCCTCCCTGAGTGCAGCCATTAGTATAATCCTCCTGACCTTTCTGTACCCCCTCATTCAGGCCCTCCCCCTATCACACACACACACACATGCAGAGGTGGGGAGAGCTCTATGTGACTCACGCATTTGGGGTAAGGACTGGCATGAGGTTCTGCATCCTGCCCAGACCTTTCCTTTGATAGCTCCCCCACCTGCAGAAAGCCTATAAGTGGATCATCCTCCCCAGGTCAAGGCTGGTCAAGGCTCTGCCTATGTTCATCCAGTATCACCAGTGACAAGGTGGTCTAAGTAATTCTGCAGTTCAGTTTCAGAAAACCCGCTTGCCCACAGGTATAAACGCATACTCCAAGATCAGCTTTATCGCTCATGAAAGTGATATTTGACCTTATCTGTCTTGAGCTTCTTTCTTTTTTTTTTTTTTTTTTAAGATTTTATTTATTTATTTGACAGACAGAGATCACAAGTAGGCAGAGAGGCAGGCGGGGGTGGGGGAAACAGGCTCCCTGCTGAGCAGAGAGCCCAAAGCGGGGCTCGATCCCAGGACCCTGAGATCATGACCTGAGCCGAAGGCAGAGGCTTAACCCACTGAGCTTATTTCTTAAATGGTTCAAGACTCAGGCTGGAAAGAATGTTGTTGCTCCCTAAATGTACATCAGAAACGCATGCCATGGGGACTTGCCATTTTTACTGTATAGACTTCGTGTTGCTCAAATATTTTCTGTAACCACTGTGTGTATTGCTTTTTTGATAGGAAGAAATGTCAAGAAAACAATACAAAAATGGAATCTGTGCTCTGTACCAGAGCCTCATGATCTCCGGTGAAATAGCAGAACCACATTTGTTCTGGACATTTAATAAATTCTGGCCTGTGGCACGCCATTCTTCCTTACATGGGAGGCTCTGCCTCTCAGAGCGTTGAGAAAAGGGTCTGAAGTGTTTCATGAGAAGCCCATTTACAAGCCACCGATGCAGTTAGTGGCCTTAGAAAACCTATCTGAGAAAACAGTTTCATAATAGGGGTGGAAGGAAAGAGGGAGGGAATTAACAAGGTAGTTAGCACCTGCCAGGTGCTAGCTGGAGAACCTTTTAGGCATTTAGAGTGTGTTACCATAGCTAGTCCTCCAGGATTGTATGAGCGATGTTTACTTTCCTTGATCAATGAGATGGGAACTCACGGCTTAGGGAAGATAAGTACTCACCTCCAATAACACAGCTAACAAGGGGGCAGGGGCAGGATTTGAACCCAGGACTGAGGGCAAAGCCTCTGCCTTTATCTTTTGCACTGTACTAGGATTCCTTTCCATTATGAAGATGACTTTATTACCCTCCAGCTTCCAAAGTGTTTGGTACGCATCATCTTATTTGACCCTTAAAACAGCCCTGTGGGGGTGGCAGGACCAGCAGCCATAACCTGGCAGGAGAGGGAGAACACTTTGCACAGGTGGTTTCACTGAAGAGTGTTTAATGAAAGAATCATTGAGGTTCGGGGGTGTGGGAAAGGTTAAGGGAACCAACAAGGAACAGTGAGGTGCCAGGGACTAGCAATGACGAACCTGAAAAGGATGGCAAAAACTCTTTGATGAAACTTGAGCTCAACTCCTCAGAGCCCTCTTCTCTTCTAGGCCAGGACCCCTCTGTCTCTGGCCTGCCCAGCCCAGTCTCAGCAAGAGTCCCACCATCCTCAGCTTAGTGAGAATCCCTCCAACTCTATTTTTTTCCCCCTTCCATCTCTTGATAGATGACCATCCTTGATTTCTGATTAAGTTCCTCATCTCCCACCTCTGGTGTCTCAATCCTGGCCTGCCTTCTGCAAGAATCCTGCTAAGTCCTGCTAGCAAGAATCTCCCACCCTTGATGTCTCCTCTTTTTATTTTTTTTAAAGATTTTTATTTATTTATTTGACAGACAGATCACAAATAGACAGAGAGGCAGGCAGAGAGAGACACAGAGAGAGAGAGGAGGAAGCAGGCTCCCTGCTGAGCAGAGAGCCCGATACAGGGCTCGATCCCAGGACCTTGAGATCATGACCTGGGCCAAAGGCAGAGGCCTTAACCCACTGAGCCACCCAGGTGCCCCTTGATGTCTCCTCTTAATGATTTTCTGTCCCCTGTCCCCATCACCCTGCTCCTTGGCCATAAATCTCCACTGGTCCTTGTTGTGTTCCAAGCTGAGCTGGGTTTTTCTTCACTGTTGCAATACCCCCAGAGTAACAGTCTTGAACAAAGTCTTCCTTACCATTTTAGCAAGTGTCAGAATAATGTTTTCCTTAACAAGGGGCAAGGAGAGAAAGCAGTGTCCCAAAAGTTGTCAAGAGCTTTCCTGGAGTCACCGTCGGAACTTAACCATAAAGGGAAGCAGCCACTGTCAAGGCTATGGCCCTGACAAGGGGTCAAGTGGTACCATAAATACCCCCACCTCCCTTCTCCTGTCCACTGATCTCCTGGCTATGTCTTTCATTGGTTGAACACAACCCAATGTCAGAGACAAGGCAGACAGATGAGAGAGAGGAACTATCCAAACACTTTACCTGTCAGACGAAGAAGGGAGAAAATGGGTTTGGGAGGGAGGAGGCAAAAGGAGAATAACCCCACTTGGAAATATTACACCCATTGAACAGATGAAGACACTGAGATGTGATGAAGCTGTAGCTCAAAATCCCACATTTGGGAGGTTGCCTTGCTGGTACCAGAACTCTGGTCTTCTGATCCCCAGCCCTGAATTGTTTCCATCCCCCACGCATCACCCCCAACTTTAGTGATGGAAAACCACAGCAAGTATTTATTATCATTTCACAGCTCTGGGGGTTGACTGCCCTCAGCCAGACAGTGCTTATTCAAAGTGTCTCCCAGGGGGAGTTCAGGGGC